TTTTCCGGATAGGTCTATAATTGGTCATAAGTCCCATATAAGGTCCACTTCCGAAAAACACTTAAACGCATATATTTCATTGAATTCTAAAGCTATAGGGATAATATTCGACTTGAATGTGTTTTGTGTACGTACAAATCATTTTATAAATTTTTTACGGGTCGGTCCATTATCGGTCATAACTCCCATATAAGGTCCACTTACGAAAATCACTTAAAAGCACATATTTCATTATCAACTAAAGCTTTCTTGATAAAATTCGACACAAATATGTTTTGTCCAAATATGAATCACTTTGCGAAATGTTTCCCGAATAGGCCCATAATTGGTCATAGTTCCCATATAAGGTCCACTTCCGAAAATCACTTACACGCATATATTTCATTGAATTCTAAAGCTATAGGGGTAAAATTCGACTTGAATAAGTTTTGTGTACATATGAATCATTCTACCACTTTTTTCTCGGATCGGTCCATTATTGGTCATAGCTTCCATATAAGGTCCACTTCAGAGAGTCACTTAAACACACATATTTCATTATCAAATAAAGTTAATTTGAGAAAATTCGACACAAATATGTTTTGTCTTAACATAAATCACTCTACGAATTTTTTTGCGGATAGGCATATAAAACATTGTACCAAATTTTTTCTGGATCGGTCCATATTTGGTAATAGGTCCACTTCAAAAAATCTCTTAAACGCACATATTTAATTATCAAATAAAGATATCTTGATAAAATATGATTTGAGCACATATGAATCACTCTGCGAAATTTTTCCGGATAGGCCCTTAATTGCTCATAGCTCCTATATAAAGTCCACTTCCTAAAGTCACCTAAACGCACATATTTCATTGATTAATAAAGCTATTGGAGTAAAATTAGACTTGATCTTTTTCTGCATATAAATCATTATACGAAATTGTTTCCTGATCAGTCCATAATTGGTCAAAACTCCCATATTCTGTGTATAGATACATCATTCTATTAAAATGTTTTCGAACTGGCGTATTAATATACATTTTTCTGGACCTAATCAAAATTAGTTCGACAAAAATTTTGGCAAGTTATCTAAAAATTAGATAGTTAGATGGGTTTCAATAAAAAGTAGTTTGCTGGTGGAGGGTATTTAAGATTCGGCATAGCCGAATATAGCACTCTAACTTGTTTTGTATGTGTTTACATAAAAATACATCCCTGATCTAATGCGACTTGTTTGTTTTTTGAATCATTTCAAAAAATGAAGAGAGCCATACGACTGTCAAATTTTCCATCCGTATTTTCTCTCAATGTGTGATGGTTTCATTACATATTGCGTTTAGACGATCCCATCCGTTCTCTTCTACACAAAATTTTGACAGATCATATTACTTGTGTGCTCGTGTGAAGGGGGCTTTAGTGACACAAAAAATGCACCTGTATCTACTCTTAAAATGAGCAGATGGGTGTCTGGTACTTTTTTGAAATTCGTACTTTTAAGTGGTAAAAATGAGTAACAAAGGTGATTTTGGTACCTTTTTTAGTACTTTATAACTTTTTAACTAATAAACAAAATCAAAATTTTTTAAATGTTTTGGACATATCTTCCAACTATTTCGCTATTTCGTACTTTTTTAAAATGCAGTCCTTTTTGGGTGTAAAATAGAGAAAACTGTATTTTTGGTACTTTTTTAGCACATTAAAAAAACTTTTTCGATTTATTGACGTATACCTATTAAATTACGGACTAACTCTGTAATATTTATGGAAACCAAATAGTTTATATTTCATTGGGAAGAAAAAAGTACCAAAAAGGGGAATACGGGAAATATAATTTTATTCAAACTCATTGAGCCAATTTTTATAAAATTTGAAAAAATATTTAATTTACTCACACAAAATAAACTATTGGTATATTATTTTGAAATTCGGGAACTAGGGCCTATATACACTGAAAAAAATCCATGCCTAATATATACGAAAAATGTCGTACATTGTACGAATCGTTCGTTGTTTCGCACCACGAAATTCTTTCGTAATATATACGAAATTGTACGAATTATTTTAGTATAATGCAAAATAATCTTGGAAAAATTAATTTACATAAATTGAAAAAAGTGAATTTTGAATAAATATGGTAAAATTTACCAAATATTAATTTATGCAAACATTTTTGTTCATTTTAAAATACATAATTTTTCTAATTTTAGTTCAAAATTATTTTCCACACGAATTTTTATTTTTTTTATTAAAATAATTCGTGAATAATATTATACTTTTTCTTAAATTTTATAAAAATGTTGTAGTTTTATTTAATGATAATTTAATTAATATCATTATATTTAATTTCGCTAAAATTTAAGAAAAAAATATTACGAAAGGTTTTCGTACTTTCGTAAAAATAGAAAAGGGTTTTATTAAATAATATTTCGTATTATACACGAAATTTTTGTAAATATTACGAAAATAGAAGTTACGAAATTTTTTTTCGTAAAGTTGACCAGGGATTATTTTCAGTGTAGGACCAAATTCGGGTAAATTGTTTGGTACTTTTTGAAAGCACAATTTTTCTGGAACAAATGAATGCAGATTTGAGTCGTTTGAGTTTTATATGTGATATACATACACAGGATCGGATACACGGGGGAAAAAGGTAAATTTAAACTTTTTCGTCCTTCAAATGGTACTATAATATTGAACATGCAGAATTCTGACTGAATAAGAATCCGCACAAGAATCAAACGTTTTAAAGTTTCTACAGTGGGGATCTGAAACAAATGACACACGGTTCTTATAAAATGAGAATTTATAAAAGGGAGATTATTGGTACTTAGTACTTAACTATAAAAGTAATAAACATTTTATACTTAACTTTCATTGGGTAGCGAGGCACCCAGGTTACACTATATATTATTTATATATATATATTTAGTGACCTTATATTTACATTTAATTATAGCGCTTTTTAGCGCGTTTTGAGTAAATGGACAGCGCGTTTTGGTATAAAATAGTTGACAACGCTGTATATAGGCATTTGAAAATTGAAATTTAAAAATTTTGCCTTGGTCCACTCTTTTCCAAATATAGGACGTAATTTTGAACCGAATGAATTTAAATTTTTTGTTAGTTAGACAATTGACAATTTAAGGGCAATAGCATTTATGGATCCAAAACTAAACAATTTTTAGTTTAAAAATTAAACAAATTGTAGATATTTGCCATTTTTTGGAGCAAAAAGTGCGTTGATTCTTTTTTTTTTATTAAAACTTTCTAAAGGTATCTTTAAGGGAAATATCTTGGTATAAACATATGTCTTTGGGTCAGCCTTATGTTCTAAAATCCCAAAGCTGGGATTAAAAAACTAAAAGCCTTGATGTGTTCCATATTTATCCCCAAAGTATTTTCATAGCTCCAATTTTTCGGAATTGCAGGATTTTACATTTTATTATTTTGAATGATAAGCCGTTTAGACCAGACTAGCCGTTTAGAAATGCAATATTTATATAAAATTAAGGTGGCTTGTCAAATGTCTATAGAAAGCTAGTGAGTTAGTTGGTTAATAAGAAATACACCGGCACCGGCCATTCAGGAAACTTCTCAGGGGAATCCAAAACAATTCTTTGGTGTAGAAATTGATCTATAAACCAGATATTTAAAAGCATTACAGGGTCCATAGATGTTATGCCACGAGGATACGATTTGAACCAGTTTTTAAAGAAAGACAATTATTTGTTGATTAAATCAGTTATTGCATTTTAAATACATTTTTTTATATCAATTTACTTATTTTCGCTTACTATCGCACAAAAATTCGTTTTTAGCGAAAAGTTTAAATTTAAGTATTTATTTAAAAATTAAAGTATTTCAAACGAATCCTTTTTGAAATAAAACTAAGAACCAAATTCCTTTGAAAATAGGATTTTCGAAAATTGACAAATCAATTCATTAAAACTGAAGTGTGTTTCCCAGTTTTGTTGTCTTTTTCACATTTTCTTCCTTTATTTTTAAGAAAAACTACAAACAAATAAACTAGTAATAATGATTTTTTTCTTTTTAAACCAACCAGATACATTTCAAATGTTGGTCAGTAGTGGTATGTTGTTGTACTACACATACATTGTTCAGATACATATAAACAGTCATCCAAATGTATATAAAATATACGAGTGTATGTGAGTTTGTATGTGTATTTAAAGTTCAGCTGTCAATCGTGATTAAAGACCTTAAAAGAAAAATTTAACACAATTTTTGTTAAGGCAGACACAAAAGCGTATACGTTATGAACGAACCGACAAACAGCTGATTTGCCACACGAGAGGAAACAGAAGAAATAAAAGAGCTTTTTAAAACGTACAATTTCCCAATATTTAAAAGTAATAGAGAATAAAAGGTCGTGAGTGAGAGAAATGTAATGAGTGGTAGAGAAGAGTAATTCAACGCAGGACTCTACAATTTAATGAAATTAATGAAAATTTTACTTAAAATGCATTTTGAATTATTTAATATGATTTATGTTTAAAAAGAAAACATGTCAAAAGCACTAGTTATTAATATAAAAGATAATGGTCCATTATTAATTACTTAATATCAGAAATTTCAATTATTTAATAAGATTTTATTTAGGTATAAAGTAAATAAGTTAATTTATTTTACGGTTTTCCCTTTTCTATTTATTATACAATTGTTGCATTTGTCATTTGAAGCTTTTGTATGGTGTGTTTTTTGTTTGTTTTAAGCATTTTTCATTGCAACATTAGCATCAAGTTTAAATAAAATTGTAACAAAAAACAAGAAGAAAAAAACTTTCGTTGAATTTGGCCCATATTAGTAAGTGGTGTTGCCTGTTGTTCTTGTTGTTGGTTGTATAAACATAAATACATATACATTGCTGCTTCTTCTGCCTTTTCCTATGAGTCTGTGTTAATGTGTGTGAGTGTTTGCGTATTATTATTGCTGTGATGAGGCAGAAACGAGTTGAGTCGGTACCAGACGATTTCACTTGAGTTTAGTTTCATTTCAAACACAGAACGGTTAAGTTGGATACGTTAAAAAAGCTCCGCCGGAAAACATACAAAACAATATCAAACACTAATAAAAATAATATTGTACACTTCCTTCTTTAAAGTACAATAACAGTTACACAAAAAAAAAAAAAACAACAGTAACAGCAAGTGGAAAAATATATACAAAATCCTAACAAAATAAAATGAAATCACGTAATGTCCCAACATAAATTGCTATACCATTCATGTATAGAGAAGATACATACGACGAGTATATAAGAATATATCGGTATCAATATATGTATACAAGCATAATAACGTTACTATTACTATCGTACAACATACATACATACATACATACACATACTAACCAGATCAATGTTATAAATTTCCAATGTTTATGTTAGAAGAAAAAAAAATAACAACTACGACAACAAAACCAATACAATTACCTAAAAAGTGAACGTGCCTTGTGTATATGTGTTTGTTTGATTGTGTCTCTGTACATGTTTAAGAGTTTAATTTAAAAATCTTAAAAGCAAATTGTGAAATGAAGAAAAAAAACATTATAAAAATTAGTTTTTCTTTCGATTTCATTATACTAAAATTATGATAAAGTTTGTGTTTGAGTGTAAATAAATTTTGTAATGTTGTTATTTTACAATGTTTTAGCAAATGTTTGTTATAATTAGGAGCTCCTTAAAGTATGTTGTACTATTTAAACAATAGTAATTGTATTTACTGAGTACTTGTTTTCAATGCTTAATTTTAATTGTATGTACTTCATTTTTGACCTAAAAAACCGAAATGGTTTACAAATTATATTATTCATTAAACATTTTATATGATGAACTTATTAGATGATAAAGACTGAGGGATGTAAAAGAAAATCATTACTTAATTATTTATGTAGATTAGTGTATAAAATATTTAGTAGACATTATTACTTTTGCGAGAGTGGAATATACAGCATACAAATATTCTTTTATATTAATATTAAACATATATTTTATTTAAGTATATTTTTAATTATTTATTCTTTACATCTCCTTAAGAGACTGCTTAACTAAAAAATCAATCACTTGTTGAATTTGTTCTTCAAAAATAGGAGTCTCTTCTCTATTTCCAATTATTACAAATTGTTTAGGTTTTAGTGATTTTTTTTTTCAAGTTTTCCTTATGATATCACTATAATAATATTTCATTAAACGTTTAAAAAATTTCTGAGAAAAGTTTAGTAATAAATCTTTTAAAGAGATCATAATTTTAATTATTTTGTTTTTTTTTAATATGTACTTATTTTGTAAAATGGCTTTTTCAACATTTTTATTTAATTTTGTGGCTTATTGAGTTATCTCCACATTTTAATAAACTGATTTAAAGATGCCATATGGTTTTATTTGCTGAACGTTTATGATCTGTATGATCAATACCAAATTCGCGTTTAGCCAATAAATATCGTTATTCAACATTGTCGATTGAAACAAAGACAGCATTCTCCACGGGAGCTTGTTGCTTACACACACTTTTGGAGATTGCTGCCTTTTCGCTTCCATATAAAAATTCATATTTTCTCAACAATGTTACCATATTTTCAAATATTTACATTGAAAAGTACCTACATTGAAAAGTAATGAGCTAAAATGTTAACAAAAGCCGCTTAATCATTAGCATTTCAATTCATTATTTTAACAATATGTAGCAATGACATTAGAAACAAGTACTTACCACGTTCACTTACAAATAATTAGTTAAATAAGTACTTACAAATAGGGAGTTAAACAAAAGGATTAGTTTTACATACAAAAAAATTGCGCAAATAAAATGGCAAAACTCAAAATAAAGTACTTACGTATCTGATTACATGAAAGTTATTATAAGACTAAGTAACTAAAAGTCATTACCGAGTTTTTGCTGGGTTCTTTTCGGAACCGAAATACATAATAGTTATTTTTGACGCAAATTATACTTAAATGTAAACCGGTTTTATATGATTTAGTTTAAAATTGTATATATAAAAATTTAACCATATAAAATGAACATAAAAATTGCTAAAGTGAATATAATATTAGTAAAGTTATTTTCGTTACCATAATATATGGTATGGATAGAAACTTTGTAGAATCTTAAGTAAATATTTTTGAATATATAAACACTTAAATAGCTCCAACAATAATGTAGTATACTAAACAGAAAGTACGCCCTTTATGCTATTAAAAAAAAAATAAAATTCAATTTCAAAAGTTTAAACCCCTTTTACTCCTTTTATCCTACTGCAAACATCATTTAGCTGAAATAGTCAAGTCATGGCAAATATTCATATAAAAACCCACAAAATATTAAATATACTCAAATGATGCAGCATTTTATTCTAAAATACATACAATAAATTTCTTTAGAGCAACACCATCAAGGTGTATTAAATAATAATTTAAACCAAATTATAAAAATAACAAAAAAAACACACAAAAGTATATTATTTAAAATAACAAAAGAAATCAATAATAAATAAATAAATTAATTTAATAAAAAAATAAAGTATGACGTGTTCGTGCAACTTAAACAAAACATAATCTTCCTAAAAAAAGAAAACAAAATAAAATCTAAAATTAAGTGAATTAATAAAATAAGAAATTGTCAGAGCTTTAAAAAAATAATTAAATAAATGTGGTGAATAAAAACAAATCTCAAAAAGATGTTAGAAACCCATTGTAGTTTTGGTAAGTAAATAATTTCCTGCTAAATACTCATAAACATAACGACAAACAATTTCCTCTCTTAAGCTCAATTACAAGTCCCCTTCTAAAAAAAAACACACAAACAGATAACGAAAAATGAAAACATTTAGCCAAAGTCAGGATAATAAATAAATGAAATAATGTTGTTAACAAACAAATAAACAAACAATGGCTAGTGGCAGGCAATGGCTGGCTGGCTGACTGACTGCTTTAAAAGCAGTAGAGGAGAACAATCGTCTCCCTTTTAATAGTAACTAATACTCATTGTGCAAATTAGGCCCTTAAAACATTCAGTTTGTTTGTCATTGTATTTGGTCTCTTAATTAGCTTCACCTACTTTGTTTTCTAATTAAACAAGGCAAAACCGAAAGCAGGCAGGCATTAAAAATGCCAGCCAGCAGTGAGGCTGTGTTAACAAACGTGTAGAATCTGTCAGAGAGTTAGTTATTTTTGTTAACAAAGTTTATTTTATTCATTCTTCTTTTTTTTGTTGCTGCTATTTACTTTACTGAAAATAACAACTCATTAAGTTAATGAGTGTCATCACATCACATTACATTCTAATTCTATGACATACAACGACGCGTCACATTACAATCCATCGCATCTCTATATACAATATGCAAAGTAAACATTAAATATAATTATTTATTTTTTTTTAAATGAAAATATTTAAACAAATTAATTAAATTATTCCCTCCTTTTTGAAATATTTATTTATTACCCAAGTATCTTTTACAAGAAGCTATTTAAATATTTTTTTGCAAGTCTCTTTAAAAATGTTGTGAAAACACTTTTTAACATTTTGAAATTTTAATGAGTTTTCTTTAGCTTGTTGCCGCGCAACACCTTCACGTAGAAATATACCTATATTCAACATATATATAAACATATTCAGATTTTTTTGGTTAAAATTATCAAATGTGTTTTCTTTATTGGGGCATATCACAGGTTTTGTGAATGAATAATTTGTTATAACTTTTAAAGAAAAAATAACGTTGGATATGTTCGTAAAGACAGCGTAATTGAAAGTGGTTTAAATTTCCACATCAATTTTTATTATTTTACGTACGTATACTTAATATTGTGTATGGTATTAATAAGTATACGTATCGATATACAGGATATTTTGTTAGCAGTCAATTTCAACAGTTTGAAGTTTTATTAATGAAATAATTACCTATATTGTTAAAATGACTTAGAAACAAAACTTTTTATACTAAATGGTTTATTTTCTGTAGGGCGATATACTTTTTTCTTCAAGGGCTTTAAAATGTATTTCAATTAATTAAATTTTTGCATCATTTGCATCGACTTGTATCTTTGCACATATGTCACACACAAACAAATATAAACTTTATTAGCGCAGAAAGAAATATTACCTATACACTGTATTACCACTCTCAAACTAATATAAGCTGTATTACCAACATATTACTGCTTTATCTCATTGTTGCGTAAATTTTCAGAGGTAGTCTCAGATTTTTGAACATATTTCAGTTATTTATGGACTGATTTTGCTGATTTTCAATAGGAAACTTCCCAAAAGCATATCTGATAGAATTACGGAAGATTTGGATACCGAAGAAATTTTGGGTCTTCAGAAAATTGATTTCAACAGACAGACAGACGGACACTGCTTAATCGACTCCGCTTTCTATAAGGATCCAGAATATTTATACTTTATAGGGTCGGAAAATTATATTGTGGAAATTACAAACGGAATGACAAACTTATATATACTCTTCTCACGTAGGTGATGGGTATAAAAAAGGTTAAATTTTTGTTATATCTGCTTCCTTCTTCGAGTTCTTAACCAAAAGCTTGAAAAATAAATAATTTTCGCCTTTATTTTATGACAAACTTATATGTCACAATTTGTCCCAACCTTTAGGTACTTATATTTTTGAATTGTTTAAAAATCCCTTGTATTTGCTGAGATATCTGTTGACGATATCACTAGAATTAAGTGATATCAAATATATGAACATTTTTTCAACTTTATGACATTATGTGTATCTCGAAAACCTGAAGTGATTATGAAATTTTGATTTAATATGTATATATATTACGAGAACCCTGACCACAAGATATACATAAATTGAGAATGGTATAGTCTTGTTGCTCTTATACGAAAAGCCTGTACAAAAGCCTTTCGATGATTAAGGAGAGATGTAGACATTTCCAACAACATTCCAAGCATTATCGACCTTAATTTCTTCAGGAATATGGCGAAGTGGTTTTCCTAGATAATAATTCGATGGAATTTTTTGCGGATTCCCCATAATGTTGCTACGAAATCTATATTCTAAAGAACAAACTACTGCTTCTTTTCGGCACTTCTGTATTAAGGAACAGTTTATATCAAGGAGACAGTTTTCATAGTAAATTTTTGGCAGATCTACGTGGAACTATGAGTTTTTTGTATTTTGTATCATATAACTTAATTGTGAATGTTTTATAGTAAATAACTTATAAAATTTATCAAATCGACTCCATATTCGCAATATTATTGAAGAAAACTTTTGTTGAACCATTTACGACCATATTCCTGACCTACTCGTACTGTTCTTTGGACTCATGTACTAACATTTTTATCACAATTATTAAAACTTTTGAATACGGAGCCAATCAGTAGACTTTGTCTTAGGATTTTGTAAATATGTAATGCCCGAAAAAATATTTGGTCATTTTAATCCATAGGTAATGATTTGAAATACTTGTCAACTTACGTTGTTGACAGATACTTACACCATAAGTATCTATTTATTGAAATAACGGCATAAAAATCCTTTTTTTCAGAAAAGTTTCTAGTTCAATTCTTTCCCTCAACAATATTTTATTTCCTTTGAATTTTGTTTTGTTTTTTTTTTATATAAATATTTTTCTTATTTCAAGCACGTTTTACGCTTTAACTCAATTCTACAAAATGAAATGAAAATCATTTAAAAAGGGTTTAAATATTTAAAATGAACTTGGTGACAATTTGAAAATGAAAATGTAATTAAGTTGTAGACAGTTGATTGGTAAATTTTCCCACTAAGTATTATTGACTAAATATTGACAATAAAAAAGGCTTGATCATTAAAATGAACGTGGTTAATTTTAAATATAAAAAAATAAATAATTTTACTAATTGCACCTATAATTAAATATATCCAATTACAAAAAAAAATTACACTCGTTCATTATGTAAATCTGTGATTGCCCTAATTAATGCTTGACATACGCATAAAATTCCTTTAAAACTCAACATAGAGTAGGGAAACACAAACAAATACTTGTGTAAGAGTACATGAATATTAAGTAAATTCAAGGTTATCTCTCATGTATGTATGTATAATTTAATATACACAAGCACAGACACACATTCTATCGCTTTAATACAAACACACAGGAAATTCAATTTGTACGTTTGTTCTCCTTGTTTGCGGTTCTTGTTGTAGCTGGTGTTATAGTAATACTGTAAATAATAAATAAAACAACAATAACGACAACTTTAACATCACAAAATTTTGTCATTTGAAAATTTAAACACTTGACAATTTAATTTAAGTACATATTTCAATTTCGTATAGTATTTTTTCCAGTTGTAATATTTGCAAATACTCACTTTTGTTGCCTTTGTAATACATAATGAAATTTCGTTGTCGTTATGTTGTTGTAAATGTTGTTGCTGAATTTTGTATTGTACAACAGTAATGTACAATTTTTTAATTAAAAACTAGAACAAGTTGTAGCAAAGGGCGAGACATGTTAATTATTAGATTTTTTGTTCACTTTAGTACTTTACATTTCACAGTGGGGCAGAATGGAAATTTTTTGGAAATAAATCTGGCATTTCTAAACGGCTGATCCGATCGGGATAAAATTTGGCGTGAGCGTAGCCAAGGAGTATTCGAGTTTAAGTTTTGAAGATGAACCCTGCAGATGCCCCAGGGACGGCGCTGTGGCGGCTCAAAGTAGGGTACCTACGACATGTAAAATTTTTAAACTCGTGCCATTTTTTTGTTTTTCACCCAAATACAAAGATTTTTATATTTTGTGAAAGCGCTCGACGAGATCTTGAAAAAACATGCTTGGACATACTACTTATCTCTTATAATATCCGAGTTATAGGCATTTAAAAATTTAGTGATACAAAATTTACCATACCTTGGTCCGCCTTTTTTTGAATACCGGGCGTAATTTTGGACCAAATGGACTCAATTTTTTAGACAACAAAATTTCCAATAATATACAAAAAATTTCAGATCAATATCGTTTACAGATCCAAAAATATACGTTTTTTAATTTAAAAATTCAAAAATTTTTAGATTTTTGGCGTTTTTTTGCCAAAAATGTGTCTTAACTCTTTTATTAATAAAATAAAATTTTTATTAAGAACATATAACAATTTTATAGTTTTCTAAAAGGTATCTTTACGCAGAACGTAAAGGCGTAAAAAACTAGTCCTATTTTTTTAAAATGTTGCCACTGCGTCCTTCCGAATATGACCTATTTTTTATCAAAACTTCAACTTTGGGCGACATGTTCTAAAATCCCAAAGCTGGGATCAGAAAACTGAAAGCAGTTTTGGAAACCTCAATATGTTTTCTATTTACTCCAAAAGTATTTTCCCAGCCCTGAAAGAAATGTGGACCCTATGGGCAAAAAAATAAAAAATCCCATTTTTGGGATTTTCATTCTTATTTTTGGGAATTGCGGGATGCCCTTTGACCTTTTCAATTTTTTTTTGTATATTCTTATTTGAAATGACAAATTTAACAAGCGTTGAAAATTTCATTGAGTTTTGTTCATAAATAAAGATTTTGTCATATATTACATATTTGTTTAATTTCTAAAACTATGATTTATATCAAAATTTTAATAGGATCGCAGATAGCTACAACAATTTAGTCCATATTTATCCCTTAATATCATTTTTTAGTTAGATATGGAAATTCTCGACCCTTTACAAAAAATTTCAAGCCAATATCTCA